GGACTGTTTCTACATCTTCCCCCTTTCAACCCAGTGGCTTCCTTGGACTAAGGATGAGAACATGTGTCCAGAAAGTACAGTGGGTGTTCCGTCAAGTTCATTCAAATTCAGGGACTTTCCAGGGCATGGTTTCCTCCAAAATGACCAGACTTAAATAAGGATGATACTGTTGACAAAAAATGGCACATTCCAAAGAGAGGAATCCCTAGCACCACATTTTACCTGCCCAAGTGGGATCTTTTTAGAATTTTTTTTTTTTTTAATTTTAGAGAGAGAGAGAGCACATGAGCAGGGAAGAGGGGCAGAGTGGGGGAGAGGGAGAGAATCTTAAGCAGGCTCCATGCTCTGCATAGAGCCTGACACAGGGCTTGATCCCCTGACCCTGGGATCATGACCTGAACTGAAATCAAGTCAGACATTCAACCAACTGAGGCATCCAGGCTCCCCATAAGAGGGGTCTTTTTAAATATGTCATAAGGAAGTTCACTTGGCTGCCTTTCCTCGTTCCAGACCCCTCTTCCTTTCGCAGCAAGTGCATCCACTGGCCAAAGGAGCAGTCAGGAATAAACGCTTGTATCTTGCACAGGAAGCATGGCTGGTTCTCAGTTCAGTGCCCTATCGGGCACCTCCCAGAAGCCAAGAGTCTCATGATGTCAAGAAAGTGCATAAAACGTGCTTGACCACAGCCTCATTCCTTTGTCTTCCCTGGAAATACCCTTGCCATCCACCCAGACCACCCTCCCTTTGACCATCCTCCAAGGCAACGTAAATTCCTGGCACATATGAGATGCCAGTTGATGACTGGCTGGGTGAACAGATGGACAAAGGGAGAAAGGCAGGCAGGCAGCGAGGTAATTGGCGCTTATGGAAGGGGATGGACGCACAGATAGGTAGCTGATGCCTTCCACAAACACCCCAGGTGGTAAAACTCTCGCCTTCCTCTTGAATAGCCCTCTTGCTCATTTTCTGAGCGCTCAGGCAGCTCGTCTCCTTTTCCTTCCATTAGAGAGACTTGCCATGTCTCCCGCGGAAGGAGATGGACTTCTCTCGGTCCCGCACCGCTCCCTAACGAGGCAGAGCTGATGCTCAGCAGAGAACAGATCCTGACCGGCCAATGTGGGGGGAACACGGTGGTAACAGCCATCGGGACTAAAGGTTCCAGGCCAGGGGCCCTGAAGGGAGACACAGGTGTCTAACTCCTTTTCGGCTCGTGTGTTTTGGCTGCAGTGTCACGGCCACGGCCGCCAGCATCGGAGCCGCGGGGGTGCCGCAGGCCGGCCTGGTGACCATGGTGATCGTGCTGAGTGCCGTGGGCCTGCCCGCCGAGGACGTCACCCTCATCATTGCTGTCGACTGGCTCCTGTGAGTTGGAATAAGTGCGCTGCTTCTGCCGGCTGGGGAGGCGGGCTTCCCCGCCCTGCAGAACCTGCAGTCTGTCATCATTCTGTCCTCAGATTGCCACTGCCTCATGAGCCATCCGTTGCTGCTTCAATTTCCCTCTGGCCAGGCCATCTGATAAAACGCGCTTAAAAATTAACTCCTCATAACTTGCGGCAGTGATTTTAAAAGGCCAGTGATCTCCATTAGCTTGTTTTACCTGGTAATGCTGGAGGATGGGTGTCGGGGGTGGGAGGAGATCAACAGAATGATAAGGTGAAGACAGAATCCCAAGCATTCCAAACCCCACAGGCCACCCTCCCCTATCCTGGGCCCGGGGTCAGCGTCATAGGTGTAGAAGCGCCTGGTTTGAAGTCAGCCCGTCTTCCCGAGATCTTCAACATCATCAGGGGCCATGGTAGGAGCTGTGGGGAAAGACCAGCTGGAGTTTGAATCGCTGTTCAGTGTCTCAACAGCTTTTTGACCTCGAGGATGTCCCTTAGCTTCTCAGAGGCCCAGTTGCATTATCTGCGAGATGGGACAGATTCTGTGCATTTCGTTAGGTTGTGCAGGGTCTGAGTGGGCTCATGTGACCAGCGTGTCTAGAACAGTGTCTGGTGGGCAGCATTTGCCCAATAAATGGCAGGTTTTAGGATTAGAATGATTTGGAACATTTGCATCTTAACTCTCGCACACGTGCGTGCATGGACACATGCACAGAGGGCTGGCGAACACAGCAGAAATTCTGGGCAAGGTCGTGCCTTGTGTGACCTCCCCCCATGGTTCAGGTTGGAACGAGCCTGGTCCCCAGCTTTATCTTGGTACCCGCTTTGTGCATTGGTCTCGCTCTGTCCCCTGGCCCTCAGGGGTGAGTGTAGCTGCATATCGAGCCTTTACTCGGAACCAGCCCAGGGTTACCGCGGAGTCCGGCACTGTGTGGTTTGCAAACAGCAGCTGAGATGGTGAAGACAGTCACGCCCCGGAAGGCCCGGGCTCCTGCCCCGGGGAAGGCGTGCCATGGGGGCCCCCTCAGCAGCTGGCTGTGTCCCCCAGCCCCAGCGGGGGTGACCCCTTTCTTGCCAAGATACGCCACCCCTGAGGCAAGTACTTCTAGTTTTCCTTCTAGTGACCATGGTGGGTTTGTAGTTCTCTCCTTTGCTCGATTCTTCTGGAACCAGTGACCTTCACTTCCAAGACACCCAGAGAAGCCAAAGGTCCAGTCTGATCCATGGGATAAAAAGACTCTAGTTGGTTCGTACCAGGGTCTGGTTCATTCCATGGCCTCATTCTGAATCGCAGGAGGGCGCCCAGATGCGGAGGTCTGTCCCACAGGTGTAGTTCTCACAGAAGTATTCACGTGCACAGTTCCCACCAGCAGTGCTCCAGTGTTCTGTCACCAGGGCGCCTTCCTGCCACAGGGTCCTCTCCAAGCTCGGGGTTATGGCCGGCTGGGGGTGTCATAAGGAGAAAGCTGCTCCTCGGCTGACCTCTGTTTTCTGACCCTGTGTCCCTGCTGGCTTGCTTCTAGAGGGACCTGGTGGTGCAGAAAAATGACTACACCAGGGACACACAAACGCACAGGAACACTTGGAGGCACGCGCGCGCACACACACACACACACACACACACTCCCCCTTTGGCAGAAACACCACCCCCAGGGGCCTCTCACCTTAGCTGAGACAGATCCGGGAAATGCCCCAAGACGGAGGTTAGGAGTGAGAGGCTCACTCAATTCTGAGCCTCCCTCGGCTCCCCCACAATATTTGTAAAGACTCTCTTCACGTTTCTTGGGGAGCAGAGGAGGGAATTTGGGGAAACTGGTGCTGGGCTTGCGAGGGTCCGTTGTGACTTATTGGGAGCACACGCCCAGGGAACCTGGTTACTCATTCTGTACTTTCATGAGCCACCTTCTGCCCTGGACCTGTGAGGAGAGAAGCCTCCCATCCCGCCACGAGGATGGCACTCTCTGCATCTGCTTAATTCGTACCTGGATGCTCCAGATCCCTTTCTGTCTCCGGTGGCAAATGGAAATGAAATCTGGGCCTCCCGTCTGACTCCCCCTCTCTCTTCCCCAGGGATCGGTTCAGGACCATGGTGAACGTCCTTGGCGATGCGTTCGGGACGGGCATTGTGGAGAAGCTCTCCAAGAAGGAACTGGAGCAAATGGATGTTTCATCTGAAGTCAACATCGTGAACCCCTTTGCCTTGGAATCCACAATACTGGATAACGAAAACTCAGACACCAAGAAGTCCTATGTCAACGGAGGCTTTGCGGTAGACAAGTCCGACAGCATCTCGTTCACCCAGACCTCACAGTTCTAGAACCCCTGGCTTCATAGGACCAGGAACAATGAAGGACATCTCCCTGAGAGTCATCTCTTAGCAAATTCAAACATTCAGTAAGGAGAAGAAACACACTGATGGCCAATTGTACATTTGATTTGATATATAGACCTCCAGATTATTTTCTATGTTTGGATTCACCGCTTTTGCTCTCCAGGTGGGGTACCATGAAAGAAAACAGATTAAAAGGAAAGCTGTATTGTCTGCAATGTAAAAATTCTATGAGAAAGTTTGGAAGTAGGTAGAGTAGTAACTATTGGATTAGGTAATGGGTGTGGAAGAAAACTTGCTTTCTCATACGCAGTCCAGTGTTTGGGTTTTTTTTTTAAAAAGACTCCTTAATTACAAATTTTTACTCAAGCTTTCTATTGGCATGGATTTCCTTTGACTTCTCACATTTTTATAGATTATAATGCATATAAATACTACCACTGCTGCCCCCCCCCCCCATTTAATGTGCCAAATTGTCCGTTTTTAACTCATCTCCAGCCAATGTCAAAGAAACTATTTTGAAGGAAAACAGACCAGCACAGTTCTGCAATAACAGTTTCAAGACGGGTGAGGGGTGTTGCAGGAAGGGAGAAGGGTTCTTTTTTCAATGTACTGTATTGGAACACTGGTAACTGGTAACCCAGTGTTCAGTATAGAGCTAGATATATATATAGATATGTATATATTTATTATTTTCATATAAGTTGCCAGACAGAGATCAGAATTGAACTGTCAATGGGAAATAAAGAGCTCTCCTTGTACTTGAATAATAACTACGATTTCAATCCAGATCTGCTTTGGGGCTTATCCCAACTCCTCTCTCAGGAGCACGAGAATGAAAAATTGTGTTGTCTGTTCCACGTCTGTGTACCAGCCTCATAGCAGACGTGTATTATGGTGATATGGTAAGGTGGCCGTTCATGTACAACTTCTAGACTCTACTGCTGGGAAGGAATCCATATCGGCTCTATATAAGATAGTATGAAGATGTGTCACTCACCTAAGGCTGGATGTGTTTTTATCCAACTGGAAGGCTTCATTCTTCCAAGGTCAGTTACACCCACTCAAAAAATGACGATTCTTTGCCATTTCGTACCCATCAGGGCCCAAACAACAGTGGCAAACTACCAGCTAAACTGTACTTTAATATGGTTTTGGTGGATGGAACAAGTCACCCTGGCCGGAAAAGCACCGTCCTTACCCTGGATTCTTGCAGAGTAAGTCCACGAGTTGATCCCCACAACACGAGATGTTGGTATCTGTGGTTCAGGGAAATTCTTCCATTGTATCAAACTTGTCTCCTCCTGAAGGGACGATTGTCCTAACTGGTTAATCTAGTCACCTCGGCCCTGCTTAATTAAAATCCATGTCCGGTCATTCTTCTAATTTATGAAGATAGCTTATTAAAAAGTATGCTTCAGCACTCATCTTGTAAATAAACACTGAACAGAAAAACTTGTATTTACAATGAGATCCAGAATAATCCTGTTTCTGCAGTATTGAGTAGCCAGTTTAAGCCTGCGCTTTTCTATCAAAGAAACTAGAAACTGTCCCAAAGGTACAGGGAAAGTAAATAAATGCTCAGTGTTGACCACCTGTCCCTGAAATCTACAAGAGAGTGATACTGGATTGTCATGTAAACACCGCAAATATGGACCAGCGACTGATTCCACGTGCGTTTTAAATTGCAAATACCGGGGGTGTTCACTGGAGGTAAATCTAACTATCAACGCAACTGTATTCATAACTTATCTCAGGCCCGAGAGGTCCTACCCCCTTGGCCGTTTGTCTCCGACTGGAGGCACTCAAGTTGGCAGAGCTGTTTGTGACCTGTAGGTCATCCTAATTTTGGAGTGAGTTTGTAACCAGCCTCTTAACACACTGTGCTGTTAACTCATAAAAAGAAACCAATGTTCCATTTCAGTCTCAATAAATACTTCCGTCATTCTTCTCCCCCTGCCTTGTTCTTCCTTTAACTTTTATCTCACTCAGGTGGGGCGTGGGAAGGTGGAGACAGATTGTAAACGGATTATTGTTTTCAAAACTGTTTATGCTCGAGAATGAAAAAGCCGGGCTTGAGGAAAAGTAATCTGATTCTTCATGTGAATCAGTGGGGATGATAAGGCTGAAATGCAGTGCCATAAATTATAAATAGTTCATCCATATTTTATGGCTGAGATGGAGAAGGTGTGATTTGGCCAGAAATTACTATACTGGGAGGTAGTCTTATCTCAATATGACGGCGACCTGGTTTCACTGAAGGACCATTCCTGCCCTCAGAAATGGGACGATAGACTACAAATGTTGTATTCAGGGAGGTCCTGCCTGGAACCTGAGTCACGACAGGGTTCTGCTGGTGCCCCTGCTAGCAGTCTGTGATAGACAGACAGCAAACAAATGGACAACCCCCTAGGCCCTACTGAGGGAGGGCAGTGTCTCACAGAAATGTTTGTCATTGCAAACATTAGTCTGTGGCCAGACTCATTCAGAGTAGTTTCCTCCTTGAGGCAACATTAGATAAAAACACCCAACACATCACTTACAGATTTGCTTGGAAGATTAAGTGTACTTGAGCAGGACCCCCCCCCACCGCCCCATGACTCGGTTCTTGCCCAAAGTCTACTCCTATACAGAGGGATGGTGTTAGCTCTCATAAACGACTATTTCTCAACAAACCATTGGACGAGGCCCTCTATTAAAAACACACCCCATTCTTAGAATAGCTTGAGAAAACTGTGTTTGGCTTATAATCAGGCAGTGGGCCGGCAATGGTGTTGGCTTTGCAGATGTTAAGAATCTTCCCTTCTGGAACGGAAAGAGGAAATGGTCATGCAGAGCCTTGACATGATGCCAAGCAGACACAATTTGCCAAGCAACTATTCTGTATTTTCTAACTGCCCAGCAAGCGATCACAGAGCCCAGTGAGACTGCTTTAAGCATTAGATGAGAAAATAGACGTAATGCACGTAGCACATGAAACGTTTCATAAAAGCTAGTGCCTCCTGCCAAAAAGTCCTGTACACCCTCGTCCCCCACTTACATGGGTCACCCACAGACATCCAACTGACATGAGCGAAAATTATAGTTTTCACCACTTGGCCTTACCTGGGTTATTAGAACAAACAGTAAATCCAACCTAGTGAAACTTAATAAGCAACCCCCATTCTATAAAGGGAAAGCTCTTTCTGAAAATGGGACATTTTCACTTAAACAGTATAAGACCTAGAATATTGCCTCTTTCCTAAAAGATCATGTGGCGGGAGGGGGGTGGCTCAGTCAAGCATCCCAACTCTTGATTTCTGCTCAGATCACGATCTCACTGTTGGTAGGTTCGAGACCCCTGTCTGGCTGTGCACCGACAGCATGGAACCTGCTTGGGATTCTTTCCCTCCCTCCCTCTCTGCGCCTCTCCCCTCAAAATACGTAAACTTAATTTTTTTTTATGTTTATTTATTTTTGAGAGACAGAGCATGAATGGGGGAGGGGTAGAGAGAAAGGGAGACACAGAATCTGAAGCAGGCTCCGGGCTCTGAGCTGTCAGCACAGAGCCTGACGTGGGGCTTGAACTCACGAACCGCGAGATCGTGACCTGAGCTGAAGTCGGGCGCTTAACCGACTGAGCCACCCAGGAGCCCCAAAATAACTTAAAAAAAAAAAATCACATGGGGCTTAAGCAAAAACGATGGTTGGCAATCTTTTTTCTGTGAGACACACAGAGGGCTTTGAAGTGCTCGGGCTTCGTGTGTGAGGCTAAGAAGCACATTCACAGAGCACACCCCTTCACGTGTTCTGAAATCAAAGTACAACGTGAAGTTCACTTTTGCCATCTTGGTCCATAAATCTCATGTAACTGTCCCCACCTGCCGGAAGTAGACTTTGTTCTGGGCCCCACACGGGGCTTAACATCCCCTCCTGTGCTGGCAGGTACGCCTCCCTCCCTGCAATCTTAGATCTTTTAAGTGAAAGCCATAGAATATAAACCAGAAGGAGGCCTTGTGACATTAGCTTTGGGAACAACATGTGGATCTGTATACATTGAATTAGGTGCTGCATTTCAGCGTATGAAGTTACTGACCACGGGTGGGAGATGCCTGGGGACATTGCTCTACGTGAGGCCACAACTCTTAAGCGCTAAGATCTAACCACACCCCTGATGCACCATTTCTTCTGTCACTGGGAAAATCCAGGGCCGCGCGTGATTTGGAGGACGTCTCTGGGATTACTGAGACACTCCAGGTTCCGTCTACAAATCTCCACTTTGCCAATTGTATCACGAGGTTCCGCACAGGTATCCGTAAACCCCCAAAGCCCAGATGAAATCAGTATCCCTTTTGTTATTCTCGTTGGAGGAAAGGGGAAGGAAAAGCGTCCACCTCCTCTAGACATGGTTCCCTGATCTCTAGGGGGCCTCACTAGCCTGGAGCTCCAAGCCCTGGCCTCGGGGAGTGCAATCAGGCGTCAGTACCTAGGGAGAAAAGTGCCCTTTATCAAAAGATGGAGGCAAAGAAGTCCTGAAAGTAATATACAGAATCAACCAAACTCCTGAGCGGTAGTGTCTGGATCCCAGCCCCCGCCCCACGACGCACGCCCCACCCCCCACCCCCACCCCATTTTCCCTCAAGAAGCTGACTTTTCCTGACACATTAGTGGCTCTGGTAGCTGCCGTTCCTCCGAGACTCAGGACAGCTGTCAGCCAGGTTATGAGGACGGCGCATCCTCCTCCTTCATTTCAGGGCAATTAGAGAATGCCAAGTTGCCTCCTCTGGGAATTTCACAAAGGTCTGGCCACCAGGGGAAGAAATGAGGGTCTGAGGTCCTGCCTCATCTCCTCCGGGCCCTGCAGAGAAAGGCCTGTTTTCCAGGGTGAGGATAAGACCCGCTGAAACGAATGGAGGGCTTGGTCCCAGCGGGGGCGCAGGAGAAAAGGCACCGTCGCTTCATTGCAAACATGCTTTGTTTCATTTTAGGGGCACCGCCTTCTTCACACAGTGCTAAAGGCACGTGCATTTGAAACATGACTTTGATCTTCCACCAAGCATACAAATGTAATTTTCATTTGAGGAGTGTTTGTGTTTCCGAGGTGTCCGCTTAGCTCGGCAAGAATAATGAGAGCCCAGCAGCAAGGCTTGTCTGAGCCGAAGACTCCCGGGAGGGGAAAATGTTTCTCCAGAATGAACCAGTGGATACTGAAACGTCCAGGTCCTAGGAACCTGGGTGGGCCTGCTGCATGTCAGAAAAGTGCTACTATGTAACTCATACCTAAGTTATTAATAAAGCAGCACCGGGAGCAAGAGGAACGCCAGCTTGATCTTCCCCCAACACCTGGCTTTTTGTCTTCCCAGCACCGCAAATTGGCTTTAATTCCCTGGGGTTTAGACGCTAGTCCCGCCATTTCCTAATTTCACCAGAAAAGTTAAGACGGACAAGAATGTGTCAACTTCACATTAAGCACACACAAACTCAAAGCTCTTTTGCCAGGTCAGGAGGGGCCAGTGCGAAAAACATACCACCTGTAGTCCATGAGAAAACCAGAAAAGCAAACAAGGCTGACCCAGGCTGCGAGGATACTGAGTCTGCCTTTCTGCCAAGAAGGCAAGTTTGCTCGAATCCCATTCCAGGAATACCATTCCAGGCAGCCAGCCACCTACCTGATTCTTTTTTTTTTTTTTTTTTTTTTTTTTTAATGCTTATTTATTATTTAGAGACAGAGAAGGCGAGAGAGAGAGCAGGGGAGGGGCGGGGGGGGGGGGGCGCAGGGTGGGCAGAGGATCCGAAGCAGGTTCTGCGCTAACAGCAGAGAGCCTGATGCAGGGCTTGAACTCAAACTGTGAGATCTCAGCCTGAGCCGAAGTCGGATGCTAAAGCGGCTGAGCCACGCAGGTGCCCCTGGCACATACTCTGTTCTTGCGTGTCATCACCTTCTGTAAAGATGACACTCAAAGTCAAGTAACAGTCCAGTTTCTTTCAAGATGTTGGCCCAGCTGCTACAGTCACCAAGGGAGTTTTCTCCCGCCAGGATGAGTGCAGCTAGGATGGCTGTCGGGGGTCCAGGAGAACAGCACACGGGAAGCTCGCTTTTGTTTACTGGACAGATGTTTGCACAGCAGTTACTGCGTGGCAAGCCCCGTTCTTAGCACCTGACATATGCTGACTCATTTAACCTCAACAGCATCATGAAGTAGGTAGTGTTGGTACCCCCTTTCTAAAGACGGGGAAACTGCCACAAGATGTTCACTTGCCCGGGACCACCACTGAGCTCACACAGCAATCTGGCTCCAGTATAGACATTCTTTTTTGTTTTTAACTTTTATTTGTTTTCGAGAGAAAGAGAGAGTGTGAGCAGGGGAGGGGCAGAGAGAGAGGGAGGCAGAATCCAAAGCAGGCTCCAGGCTCCGAGCTGTCAGCACAGAGCCCGACGCGGGGCTCGAACCCACAAGCCGTGAGATCATGACCCGAGCTGGAGTCAGATGCTTAACCAACTGAGGTGCCCCAAAGTGTCAACATTCTTGACCAGACACTGACAGCCAGAGAAGGCCAGGAAGCTAGAGTATTAATTCTAACTCAACTTTGGAGTGGCCTAAAATTTTCAAGACAGCTTACAGTCATTGTTTACCCTTACCAAGTGTGAACTGTGTGCCTGGCACACTCCTAAATGTTTTACACGCTTAATGGCATTTATCCTTCTCAACACTCCTATCAAGCAGGTATTATTTTCCTACTTTTCCATTTTCCAGATAAGGGAACTGTGGCTCAGAGAGATGAAGTGATCTGCCCAAGTTCACACAGCTGGGACTCCAACCGGATTCCAGAGCCTGTGTTCCTAACCATTGAGGGGGTGCCTCAAAGTGTCTAAAAAAAAAGTCCATGCAAATGGAAAGCAAGGGTAATCCAAAACCTCCCAGCAAGGGCAAGTCCAGATCTAGATGGCTTCACTAGTGAATTCTACCAAA